CTGGCCCAGAGAGCCAGTCCGGATTTACTTGATGCCTTGCCAATAAACCGAGAGCTGACTGTCACTCGACTCGTGTCTTACTGCCTGCGCGATCTAACACAAGCCATGCCCTGGAGAGGGCAACCGTCCCTCTTAAATCAACCACCTGCTAACTCGCCAAGGTCCCATATGGTCAGATGCATCCCAGCACCCATGCGCTTGCTGGCCTGTGTGTGCAGAAGTCGATGGTGTCAGGCAGCAGCTGCCTCTACCCCTGCCACACCTTGCCCTGTGACAATGGCACCCCCGCCCTACCTTGCCTTGCCTCCCCTCATCCCGCAGGATGAGCCTCCTACCCACTGCCCCACCTGGCAGAGACCCCCTGGATCTCCCCCAACCCTGCCCGGCCCCCACAGGCATCCCTCCCCACAAGCAACATTGAGGTGATCATGCCCACCTTGGCCATTCCCACCCAATCTGCCATGACCACCCAGCCACGCACACCCAGTGGGCCACGCCCACCTGGCACCCAGCGATAAATAAGTGGGTTTTGGGTTGCAGTTTGGGCACTTGGTCTCTAAAAGGTTCGCCATCACTGCCTTAGCCAATTCAGCCCCTGCCAAAAACACCAGACACTCGAGTTAAGCAACATCCAAAGAATTGTTTGATCCTGTTCCCTTGATCTATTGCAGTTGTTGAAAACTACATTAGGGCTGAGGGCTACATTGGGTATATTGGTGATGCAACTAACAGGATGATGATAATGATGTTTTTTTGGGGGGGGGTTGAGGAGAAGATGTTTGTGTACTGAAGAAAGTAGGTCTAACAAAGAAAATGAAGGGTGCACCCTTTTTTCTATCTTTTGCACATGATGAGAGAGAAACCCAGTTCATCTCTTTGCCTAATTCCATTAGACACCCCACCACCACCACAAACAAAGCCCCCTGCAATACTGTCCATACCAAAGGATAGAAACCTCCTGACCAGCTCTCAGCACACCCCAAAGGCAGCTCTAACAAAGGAATTGCAATATACTGTAGAGAAACCACAACCTTCCAACATTAATCAGGTACACACCCATTATTACATCAACATCCCATCCCCTTCACAATGGCCTTCCCCAGCTCTGCTGCCTCTCCTGAAAGGGCTGCTTTGCCTGTTCTGCCCCAGACAGAACAGACGGCCTTAGTTCCATCCAGGACAGACAGATAACTCAGAGGAATAAACAGAAAATATCGCTTTATTTCTGGGAATCCTAAACAATAACTCACTGTTATGTAGAGATAAGTCCAGAAGCATATTTAGCGGTATTGGTTCATTCCACAGGTAATTTGATAATGGATTTTCCCCTCTTCTTCTGCATAAGCATCACATGTTGGCATAGGACCTCCAAGCCGTATGGCTAGGAGACATGAGGCTGGATGAAACAAAGGAACCTTTCCCAACAGGCTTGTGGCTAGGATATCCTGTAATAAATTTTGGTGGCTCCTCCCACTGACCTACTAACATGATATAACTGACTAGCTAAAACTACATTAGCCATAAGCCATCTCTTAAGGAGACAGCACTTAACCCAATAAATGCCAGATATTCTAACATACAGATACATGCTCTAGTCCAGGGCTTTTCAACCTTTTCACCCATTGTACCACTTTTAGGATGTAGCAACATCCGAGTACCACCAGTCACCTAGCAAGGTGTCAAAAACTTGATGACCAAAAAAAAAGGAAAAAAGTGATAAAGTACAAGTAGTCCTCAACTTACAACAATTCGCTTAGTGACTGTTTGAAGTTACAATGGCACTGAAAAAGTGCCTCCCCAAGTCACAGCCGAGCAAGACACCTGCCTGCCCACCCGGTGACGCTCTTCCTCCTGTCTGAGGTTTCTATTGTTGTGAGCATTTCTGTTGAGGATTGGCAGTGGGGGTGGGGTGGGGGTGTTTGGTTTTTATTCCCCCATCTGCTGGGTGGTTGCAGAAGGTTTTGGTCACTTCACATGACCCTGGGTCACTGTGACCGTCATAAATATGAATCAGTTGCCAAGCATCTGAATGTAAATCACAAGACCCTGGAGATGCTGCAACATTCCAGCTGATCGGCGCTTCCACTGAGCCCTGACAGCCCTGAAGCTCCAGCCATCTTTCACTCAGGCTTGTGCGGTGCTGCAACAGGTTCAGCTCATTCCCCTCCCCCACTACCACTTTTCTAGGATGGTCGCGTATCACCTGCCAGGTGCCAATGTACCACAGGTGGTACCTGTACTTAACCAACTTTTCGGGACGAGATCAGTCCAAATGGTGTCAGGTCTTGTAACGGATTGTTGTCTTTATTGGGGTCCATCTCCCTGTTCCTGGGTGGATCAAAGAGGTTCTGTCTAAAGAATAAACCCGAAAAAGACGATTTCAACCCTGAGTTGTTTACAACTTTATTTACCCTAAAGGACGAGTCACAACACGAAAAGGATGACAATTTTCCTTTCTTTCTAAATGCATGGTAAGCTTGCGCTGAGTTTTCTGCCTCCACCAGGCATCAAAAATGGCACTACCAATTTTTAACAACCTTGAGGGGCTGTGGTGTGTAGCAAAAAGGAAAGACTCGTGCAGAGATAATGATTGTCCATGTCCAAAAAAGTGGCTCCTAGTTCACCTACTAATAAATACAAACCCTGGCATTATAATGGTTTGTGTAGATGTTATTAATGTGATTTCATTGCTGTAAGTTAAAGTTACATTTTAAAGAACTTGCCATTTTTAGAGACTATGAGCTGAAGAAAAGAGAAAACCACCATAGTCAAACTGACCAAAAATATCAACAGGCTTTCTAAATGACTTGAAATTTCAGTAGCATTGTTATAGACTGGTAGTTATGAACTGGAGCCCAAGCCACATATTCTATTCTCAGCTTTAAGTTGTTTCTTCTCAACATTTTAAGTCACATGGTCTCTAGAGTTAATAATAGCTAAGTTTAATTTCAGCTGAAGCGTATGATATGATTTTAATTTTCAGTTTATATAACAAGACCTGTCCTCTATGTTTCTTAATCAGGTGTTTAGTGAATCTGCCTGAATACCTTCAATTTAAAAGGGAATATTGATGTGCCTACCCTACAAGGTTCCATCCCAAAAAGGTGCAGGATCCATCCCAAAAAGGTGCAGGAACTCCGTTCTGGGTGTTTTATGACCAAAAAAAAGCCCTGTGAAATACTCTCAAGATATTTAATTCGCTCCCAATGTTTACAACTTCCCTGTCCCATCACCATCACACACACAAACACAGACTTAGTTAACTTTGGTTTGAGGCTAAGCAAAAAAAAAACAAAAAACCCTGAAGATATGACATGTTCTGCAGTCATAATAAAAATTTGTTAGTCGTTATAGTAATTTTGGGAGGAAGTTAAAGGAGTTTGACACAGAAATTGATGGAGTGATAGATTATAAAGTATAATAGAAATAGAAAGGTATTTTTTTGTTTGTTTTGTTTTTGCTTTTTTCTCTTTGTTTTTTTTTTCTTTTCTCTCTTTTCTTCTTCGAATTAATATTTTTATTATTAGAAATGATAGCTATTTTGTAATGAAAGAAGAATAAGGGGAAAAAAGAAGAAATGATATTAATAAATGTTTATTGATTATGTTAAGGAAAAAGGGAATGGGGAGACACCCAAAGTGTTCATTATGTATTTAGCTTAGTAATATGGAAGATAGTAACTGAAATAGTAAAGCTTAATACAGGATTTGGATCTATTTAGATGAAATATTACTGATTAAGAAAAAAGAAGGAATGATATTAATAAATGAATATTGATTGTATTAATGAAAAAAAGGAACAGAGAGACATTTGAAGTGCTAATTATGTATTTATGTTAGCAATATGGAATATAGCAATTGTAACAGTAAAGCTTAATATAGGATTTGGATTTATTTAGATGAAATCTTATTGATGATTGTTTTGACTGACTTAGTTGTACTGAAATACATTAACCTGAATATAATATATTATTAGAGGGAATAGAGAGGGGTGCTTTTCTTTTAACTTTTTTGTATGATTTAATCTGATCTTTACGAGTATGACTTTGTTTTTGGACAATTGATTGCCCTGCCACCACGGTGATTCTTAAGCACTGGTTTGTAAAATGAAAAAACTAATAAAACTTGTTTTAATAATAATAATAAAAATTGTTAGAAGGCATACCAAAAGAAAAATAGGATCATTTCTTTCACAAGTGGTATGCATGCTTTTGAGTCTTCCAAAAGTCTTCATCGGCCATTTAGAAAACAAATCAAATTAGATGAAGAGAGAGCAAGGCAGGAAAGAAGGAGAAAAAGAAAAAGGGGGTCTCCTCTCTTTCTCCATTCCTACTCCAATCCTTCTGTAATATCCAGCCTGAAGGAAAATTTGGAGATTGTAGGGTCGCTGTACAAATGTACTGCTTCGGTAGGCAGGCTACAGCTTTCACAAAGACTCTGGTGACTTTTTTCCTTAAAACAAATAAATAGTTGTATTTGCCCTCCCTGGCCCAGCAACATTTAAGGCCTTTAATCACCCCAAAGGTGTTTTTTTTTAAAGGCAACTGGGCTTTCTTGGGCCAATTGGTCAAAGAAAGTCCAGTAGCCTTTTGGAAAAAGTACCTTTGGGACAACCATGACCTGGATGATTGAGAATCTCCATAGACACTCTTTTACTTTAGGTTTACTCTCTAGGGAACATTCAAAGTAGCACTATTGATTCTCCCCAATTCTTCCCTATTCCATGTGTGAAACCCCAAATATGCACATTTTTCTGTTGAAGAGGAGTTTAATTCGCAGCATAAGAAAGTTTATTATGGATACATAACTTTCGCATTGGAGAGGAATTGCAGAGAAACTCACAAAGTAAAAGCTTTTACCCAGGTAGGCAAATATGAAACTGATTTTGTTCACTTATAAGTTTAGACATGATACTATCCAAGTTGAAATAGAATTCAGAACAGAGAAAGCTCCACTGCTCACCACACCTGGAAAGAAATTTGTTATTATGGCAGCATCTGCTCACTGCGGCTTACAAATTCTGAAGAAGAAAAGGATGACGCGCAAGGGTTTATATATCACAATGATAATGAAAGGGCGATTACATTTCACCTTAGAGTGACTCCCATGACCTATCTCTGCACGAGAGGCACCAGCTGCAACTGCACCCTCTTCACTCATTTCAAAGTAAGTTTTAATCCGCATGTCAGTCACATACAAGCCCGGCTTCCCAGATATGCCAGATAAATTGGCTCTCTCTGGCATAAACATTTCAGTCACTCCCATTGTTGCCAAGTCCGATTTCATCGAATAATCATCTGTCATTTTGAGCTTTGGCACGTAAACTTTAGCTGGTATGTTTCTCATATTTTCTGGAGAAGTCCACTCTTGAAACTTTTCATAAGAGAGAATCTGTATAATCTGTCAAGTAAAATAGAAAACAATCCAAGAGTGAAAAAAAAAATCAGTGAAAAAAAGAACAAGACAGACAGTTTTCCAAAATGCCAAACATCTGCACAATAACCATGTCATTGTTTCGAAGTAACCTAATAATTTATCTGCTGCAATGCTACTTCTTTTCAGGATGCTGAGCAGTGCATGTAGGAAGAAGGTGTCTTGCTCCAGGGTTGTGAATATGTCTGCTTACATAGGATATTCAAACTCTTATAGGCTGCCAGGAAGTCACAGTTTATACATTCCCTGTAACAGAGATTTCTCTGACAAGTAAACAGAGGCAAATAATCCAGACTCCTTGTGAAGGGACAAAAAAAATGAGCCCTTTTAAAACAAAAGGCAGAATTTCAAGAGAAGTGATGGCTGGAGTTCCCACCAATTCCCAGTTCCTACCAACCTCAGATTAAAGTCTGGAATCCCAGAAAAGGGGAGATATGTAATCTCTATAGAGATAAAGGGAAAAAAAAACAAAACCTAGCTTTGCTAAAATTCAACAGATTTCACTGATTTACTCTTTCTCTTAATCCGTTCAACCTAATAGAGGTAGAGGTATGCTGGACATTCATACAAGTTAATTTTTTTTCCATCTAGGTTTTCCTTTTTCCCCCTCATCCATTCACGTCACCCAATAGAGCAGTGTCTTTCCTAAATCATATTAATTCCATATACAGGAATTAAGGGTAGAAGGTGCAGGTTCAGCCGTCAAAATGCAGCTTGTCCCAAATGCCAGGCAAAAGTTCAGTATAGACTCAAGAACCTCCTAGTAGCATGGTGGCAAACCTATGGCACGTGTGCCACAGGTGGCATGCAGAGTCCTCTCTGTGGGCACACGCATGCCGTCGCCCCAGTCCTAGGCCTTCAGCTGGGTTTTATAAAACCTTTTCTCTTTAGGCCTCCACCGCCGTGTGCAAAATAAAAAAAACGGTTCAATCAATCAATCAATTTCAACTTTTCACAGGGAAAAAAAAGATCTCGCAAAGTTGGAATTGATTGATTGAACTTTTTAGTCCCACCCAGTCTGCCGTTACCACTGCAGCCACGCCCACCCAATGGACCACGCCCACCCGGCACCCAATGATACATAAGTGGGTTTGGGGTTGCAGTTTGGGCACTCGGTCTCTAAAAGGTTCGCCAACACTATCCTAGTACCAGCAGGTATCATATTTTCATATATGGTGGCCATTGTTACTAGAATGGCTTAAGAATGGGTGGCAGTTGGAGTAAGAGCACCACACTAATAAAAACTGAATCTCAATAGTACACACACATACACACAGAGAGACACTACTAGAGAAAGAAAAATGTTGTACAAAAGCATACACAACAGTTTGCTTCATCCTTTTTCCAAGATTTGCATAAGCTTGCCTAACAACATGGCTGTGTATTTGATATACTGGTCGATGTAGAAGAGATAGGAACATCTCTTAGACATAAAGTAGTGTTCTCAGTACATCACTGAACATGGGACTAGACACAATCCAGTAGTCTTGGGGAAGACTGTTGGACACAGGAGATAGGTAAAGGAGAATATTTGTAGCTTAGTTGTTTTCTTGCAGAAGTTTCATTATCCAAACTAGGCAATATCATCAATCCTGGTACTAGCACTGATGATGTTTGGGCAATGAAACATCTGCAAGAAAATAATCAAGCTCAGGGAGCACCAAGGACACACACCCCCATAAACACCCGGAATAGATTTGTGCAAAGATGTCCAATACCTCCATGTGGGGATTCAGTGTAAGGAGATATATGTGCCAAGTCACATGGGCCAAGTGGCTGCAGAGAGCCACTCACTGCAAGAGAACAATTGACACCTGCCTTTCCAATTATGATGAGAGAAGGCAGGAATCTGGGAAACCCTCCAATCAGTGGCTTTAAGGAGTGATTGTCTGAAAAAGTATTTTTGCTGATGCTGGATAATAGGCTATATTCTGGATAGTGGCTTTCTATTATTTATTTATTTATTTATTTAGCCATATTGGTAATGGGAGGTCCTCAAGGTAGTATTAGCAAATTTTGGCTAGTGTGGCCATGCTGACTCAGGAATTCTGAGAGTTGAAGTCCGTGAGTCATAAAAGAGCCGAGGTTGCCTACCCCTGCACTAGAAGAACCAAAAATAATTTTGCACCAAATAATTCCTGCTACTCTAGGCTAGCTAGGAACATTGATCTCTAGATTACCATTGCAAGCTAGTCTATTGTTACCCACAAACTAGGGAATATGTTCAGTATATTGACACATTTAGAATACTACTAAATCAATAATACGACTAGTTGTTATACTCTTTTTTTTATAGGTTCGACTCTAGACTCTTAATAAATCCTTATCTTTGTGGTAAAGGACATTAACATACCAAAAATTTTTCAACATCTACACTCAAGTCCCTACACACAAGTCTAGAAAATGGTTCGTATTATATAATTTTATAGTTCGGGAACTTAATACTAGTGTTTTGAGTCCAGGTTAGGGTTGTAAGTCATGCTGGTCATAAGTGAGTCACCATGCCCAATTTTACAACCTTTTTTGTGACAGTTAAATGAATGCAGTGCTTGTTAAATCAATGCAACAGTTGTTAGGAAAATCATTGTCTGCTATGGGCATTTTTTTGCTGCAAATTGGAACATTGGTTTCCAGCATAATGTGGGCTGGTTGCCAAGCACCTAAAATGCAGTTATGTAATGTGGAAGAGTGGGGGGGGGGCACCTGGCCATCATAACCTAGATTCCGGTCATAAATAGCTCTACGGAGATCCGTTATAACTTTGAATGGCCGCTAACTGATTAGTCATAAGTCGAGAACTACCTTTATACATATCAATTTCACTGCAAAGAGTTCAAAACTCAAATCACCTCATCTGTAGTTACACGGCCGTCTGGTATAAAAAAGTAAGAACAGATATCTTCATTTTCATGAGGAAACTCCAGCACTTTCATTGATGGAGTCGTTATAGTAACTGTGTTAAAATTGCCCCGTTGAGTCATCATTTCCACATAAATGCTCTGATCCTATAACAAGGAAAGCAATGCTTAAAAGTAAAAAAATAGCAATAACAGGAATTTCAAGATGAAATGTAGAATATAGTAGGCCAATTATAATACCAATTTTTCACCTCACAATCTGTTAATTCAGGATAATATATAGATTTTGTGTTTCCACTGCGTTCAACAAGGTTGTTACTTTTAATTGTTTGACAGAATTGTGGCTTCCCTGGATTTTCATATACTCTACCTTGGAAGTCCAAAAGGCTGCTTGGTGTGTTTCCATTGGATTAAACTGTGAGTTCCACATTCCTTTGAAATAGACAGCACTTGCTGACAGCAGGAGACATGATGACTGAATGGAGTTAGCAGTCAATACATTGCTGATTACACCTTTCGGGAAAGAAATTGAACGAAAATATCTGCAAATGGTGCAATACTGTCAACCAACTGCTTCTTTCTACAACACAACTTTCGAGTCGGAGAATAGGAAAAACTACATAAAACATCAAAATCCAAGATAAAAGAAAGAGTGAAAATGTAAGTCTAAAATGAACTCATTTCATTCGTTCATCACATTTATGTAGCCACCCATCTCACACAGGTGACTCTGGGAAGTATACAGTAAAAAACAGAACAATATCTTAAAGCAAGAATAACACCAGAGAGGCACATCACACCAGAGAGTGTTTAAAAACTCAGACATAATGGAGCCGTTTTGTGGATTCCCTGTGTCCAAGGAAAGGTTGGCCCCAACTGTGCAAATCCTTTTGCTAAAGCCATGGATGAGGGTCTCAAAAGCTCATAGGACTGGAAGGCCTGAAACTCTGAACCTCTGTTATATTGCAGATTGGCATTGCATTCAGGACCTACCCCAGACCATAGGTTAATTTTCTCTTCTTAAGCACCTTAGCAGGGCATATTCATTGACCCTTCCCCACTCTACAAAACTTTTTGTATATACATCTATATTATTTAAAATTAATGAAAGAACTTTTTGGACCTAACGTTTGCCAAGATTAAAGTGGCAGGTTAAAGTAGACAGGAACTGGCCTCATGCTCAAAGGGCCATCCTCTTCATCTCACTCCATGGTACATCAGTCCATAAAAATACACTGCACACAACTGATTCTTCTTGCAGCAGAAAGTCCATTGTCTGTCCTCCTCCCCCATTAGTTTGCAATGGCTAAACATTCCTTCTTCTTGGTATTCAGACGGGGAAACCCAATGAGACTTCCTAACTGATCAGTGGCAAATGAAATGAAAGAAACCTATAATAACTTACCATGTGTTTGGCTTTCAAACCAGGAATTCATTTGCTTTCTAACTTTCTCAGTTGCATTCACAAAGTCAACGCTTTCCACTTCCGAATTGCATAGCTCTTTAATGCAACTTCTGTAGCTCTGCACCAAATGAAAGAAGACATATCAATATGTTCATTCACCTATTATCACATGCCCTTAATCAATAAATCTAGTTGACACTGGTTATTCGCTTTCTGTGGCTTTCAGCTGGAAAGTTGAAAATAATCCTAGAGCTGGGGAATTTTGGAAGTTAAAGTCCACACATCTGAAAATTGCCAAGGTTGAGAAACACTATCCTAGAGGAATGAAATGTCTAGTGTTTGTATGGTATCATTACCTAAAAAAATTGGGTGGATGTATCTACGAAATCTCCAGAACTTGAGTTCAGCTCAAAGAAAACCTCATTTGTCAAAGTGTTACCTCACTTTATCATCTGCTGTTTAACTGTTTAACGTTTTGTTTGCTGTTATGCAGAAATGAAAATTCATGGAAAAAGAACATGGACCTAGATTTTGACATTACTTCTAATAATGGAGTGATGCATGTTATTGGGCCGAGGTGAAGGAACATTTTCACATGCATTAAACCTAATATGTAACCCAAACTTTTCCCTATGTGTGCATTGCAGTTTGCCAGAAGTTTTATACCTGACCTAACCTAGTTTCCTGCTTCACAAAACACAATACCAGTAGAATTTTTTTAGTAAAGCACCATACTTAGGAAGAGGATCTTCAACAATTCTACATTTACAAAGGCAAGACTTATCATAGTTGTTACATCTAGAGCCATTGCTCCTGTTTTTCTTTTAAGTCAGTTCTAATTAATTCTACTGTCTGAAATACATAGTCAGAAAGATATGTGGCTGCTTTGAGCTGCTGACTATTATGAACATCCACATTGCTCATCCATCAATATTGGACGGAGAGGGGAAGAGAGAAAAAGTGTTCTTTCCTACCTGCAGGACTTCAAAAGTTTTTAATACAAATTGCCGGTGGGCTATCTTCAGCCGATAGCTTTCGGAATGCTGAATGATGGCTGACATGACTTTCTTCCAATGGTTGTAAACTCCGCCAGATTTATCACAGGGACTCCCCAAAAACTTCAAGCAGCAAAGGATAACATATTTATAATCATATAACTATATTTGCCAACATCCTCCAAAATATTTACATTTATCATAACTCAAACAGAACAAGTCATAACAACACATATATGACAATTCTCTGCTAAATGGTTTCAGGGTGTGAATAGATGTTTTATTTTTACAGCAGAAGTCCTCTTAGGGGTCATTGTCCTTGAGATATTCTCCTTTAAAATGCTAGTCTAGGAAATGAACAATTATTCTTAACCATTACCTTGTAGACAATACATGTTGGGCACAATCACTTAAACATCATAACAGATTTGGGTTAGGATATACAATTCTGATTGCCAATATTTAATATTTCTTTACTAAGAAAGAAATTATTTTCTATTTTTCAAGTGCTTAAAATGCTTTATACAAAATAGTTCATTTAATAGAGTTAGTGGTAAAATGAAATTCAACTGATAATTCTCTTACAGGCACATCTGTAGAGGTCTCAGTTTCTGTCAAAGGGAAGCGAAGAACCTGCAAAACAAAATATATCAGTTGTGTCCCAATTTGTCTTTGTTGGGTATAAGATCAAGCTGAAGCTGCCGTACCTAAAGATGAAGCAAGCCTGGAAACAGGGTGGCCAAGAAAAGCTCCCTTAGGGAAAATACTTAAGATGGAACAAAGTTGTTAAGGAAACAAGGAAAAAAATGTCACCTGAACCAGACAAAAGAAGTTGGACCTGAGAATGTGGGAAACCCCACCCCAAATCCTATGAACAAATACCAGACTTGTAAACCAACAAAACAAGAACTTTGGGGGATATGGCTTCCGGTTTGCCATGCGGCCGCCATGGACGGCTGGAAGACTTTCTCTCTCTCCCCCTTTCAGTTTCAGATCGCTGGGGGGCCCTGAAAAGAGCTGAAAGTCACCCCAAAGAGGTGACCAGCAAGGAGGGGCTTTCGCTGGATCGCGGGAGAACAGAAAGTCTCCCGCTGGAACTGGCAATCCCTCCAAATCGGCGGATGAAAGGACCGGCCATAGAAATATGGCTCATCCCTAGGCTGCAGACAGCTGAAGTCACACTCACCATCTGGCAACTTCAAAGGAGCATGGAAAGGACTGGGTGAGATCTACCTCTCTTAAATCCTAATTGCTTTTTTGTACCTATTCAAGCTACTAAAGTACTTTCCCCCCTGTGGAGAAGGAAGGGGGATTTTAGCCCTCCCTCTAGAAACAGCGGCGATTGAATATAAAGGGGAGGTTTTTTAAAAAACATTGAAAAAATCATTGGATCCCAATTGGAACTTTATTTCCTAAAGCTTGTGGATTAAAAGATTTTTGATTATCTACTTTTTACCTTCTATTTTTATTTGAAAGTCTGGGTTTTTTCTCTTAAAATAGAGGAAAAAAACCAGAAGGATTGAAATAACTTTGAGATTTAAAGGAATTCCTTAAACAGTGGAGTGACATCTTGTGGCTAAACCTGGAATTGCAATTTATTATTCTTAAAGAAAAGGGACTTGGCTGACAGTTCAGAAAATAAGACAAGATTCATGTGACCTTGAACACCAGCTGTGAGAGCTTTAGCTCTGTTTTTTATTTACTGGGGGGAAAAACTGTAAAAGTTTTCAATTCAACTCATCACTATGGAAGACCAGGAACAGACCTTTTCTATGGAAGAAATGCAAAAACAAATTTCTGCTATATTGAAAATAACTTACCAAACTTACTAAACTCTTCTTACAGCTGGTGATGAAATAAGAGCTTTCAGGGAAAAATCAGAAAGCGTCTCAGATATGAAAACTCAAACTTTGACTATAACTAAAACCTATCTAAACAGAATACAACAGAAAAAATTGAACAATTAAATATTATCACAGAAGACTAACTGACCAACAAGTACAGACAATAGAAAATTCAGAAAAAAATCTGACAACTTGGATGGAGGAAAAAAACTGCTATATAAATCAGAAGGAATTTGAAGATCAAGAAGAGAAACTGATGGAAGGAAAGATAAACAGTTCAGGACAACTACATAAAGAGAAAATAAAGAGATGATCTGGTAGTCCTGCCAGACCCCTCAGCCTTTCAAAAATGGCGATTGGATGGTCAACTCAATATGACATAATATATACAATAATACAAGAATTCTTTGAGGACCCTGAAGCAAGGACATGGAAGATGATTTGGAAAAGAAAAAAAAGCCAGAATAAGACTGAAGAAGAATGGAGTGTAGCCATATTTAGGAGATATAAAATAGAATATACAAGACTCGTATTTTGAATATGAGATATTGTTATGATGTGAAGATAAAGAAAACTCTTGGCTAATTAAAACCTAGATGCAAAAATATCAACAGTTAAACTGAAATATTGAGTTGTTTATAAAGATAAGATAAAGGTGATTAAGACATATATATGTTAAGAGTGATGTAACGTAATTAACATGTTTTGATGTAGTGATAAGAATGAAAATTATAAGCTTAAATATAAGAAAGTGGACATAAGGAAGAATGCTGAAATGGGAGAAATTTTGGTTATTGAATCTATAATATTTGGAAATTATAATGAAAACAAGAATATTATATTATATTACTAATCTGTTGATATAGAAGTGAGATAGATATGTATCCGGAACACTAGATGGGGGAATTGTGATAAAGGGAATTGGGGTCATTTAAAAATTTGGAAATGATAAATATTAAACATTTAATTTAAATATCAACACAAAATTAAAGCTGGAAAAATTCATAAGATTATTGATGGTCCAAAAGATGGAATGTTAAAATAAATAAGACATATAAAATTATTGATAAATGTTAGAAAGCTATTAAGTAGCAATAGATAGAATAAGAAGTATGCTAATTTAAACAAGAGACAGTATGTATTAAGGGAAAAGAGAGAGGAAATATTGGCTTTAATAGTTGCAGATTTGTATTAATAATATTTGTATGTAATGGAATTATTATAACTCAGATGCCATGTTGCTTTTCAAAGATATAATTGTAACATTGGAAAATTAATAAAAAGGTTTTTTTAAAGGACTTTGGGGGATAAAAGAGATCCCAAAGCCTACCCACTCTGGGAATCATCTTTGAATCCAGACTTAGTGGCTTCCATCCCTCTGGTTAGTGTCTGCCAGCCTAGGACATGGGTAGGTGTGGATGAGAGTATCTGTGTGTGTGCGTACATGCGCAGGTGTGTGAACAAGTAAAGTTTTGCTATTATTTTAAATTCACTGGGTCTCCATGTACCCTCAATAACTGTTTGTGCCTCAGTCTTTGGTTGAAAGTGATTTGAGTGTGGCTGTTTTCCAGGGCTGTGAGTGGGGGAGTGAGTGATCATAAGCCAAACCTGGGAGGATGCATGTAACAGGGACTTCTTAGAACAAATATGTACATTCTCCCAAACATTCACTGATGAAGAGAAAAGGGAAAGGAGGTGCAGCTGTTAAGACATTTGGGATTAAATTAGAATTGACCTGCTTTTTTCAAGCTCATCTTCTTCAGATGTTTTGGACTACACATTTTACCCCACCCCCCACCCCAACAACCTGGCCAATGATAATGGGTGATACAATGGAATTCTCAGAGCTTGGAGGAGAGGATGGATGTTTCCAAAATATTGCAGAACATGAAGAGATGGGACATTCCTTTCATAGCTATAAACAAGTAGCACTACCTCTGCCATGCCCACAAAGCTATCAAGATTGTGTAACCTAACTCTTTTTCCCCTGCTGTTTTTCCCTTGCAAATCTTTCTTTTACTTTTACTCAGAATACAACACTCTTCTCCACTCCTGTGGTCACATATTATAGAATGTCTAATTTTTCATGACGTAACTGGAGAGATGATTTTTCTTAATCCAATCAACTTTTACTTTGAAATGTCTTTGTTGTGCAAACTATAAAAAGAAATGTAAGTCATGTCCCAAGTTCTCTCTCTAAGGCAGCGGTTCTCAACCTGTGGGTTGCGACCCCATTTGGGGTTGAACGACCATTTCACGGGGGTCGCCAATAGAATAGAGTCTCTTGAATAGAGTCTATTCTATTGGCTTTCAAAAGCCAATAGAATAAGAGGGAGTAGCACAGCTAAGGAAAAGGGGGGGAAAATGGCGGACTGCGTTGTTTGGCGACCCCCGTGAAATGGTCGTTCGACCCCAAATGGGGTCGCGACCCACAGGTTGAGAACCGCTGCTAAGGGAATCTTCTTTATCTTGGAATATTTCAAAACATCTTCCTGTCCCAGTTGTTTAACTGAGGTTGAGCATACCAAGGCACAAATATAGAGCCATATTTGCACATGACTGACTCTTCTGGATTCTGATCATTTTGCATCACATTGTCTGCTTGTTAGGATTATGATAATTTTTCAAAAAGGTATTGGAAAAACCATTGCTCTGTGTCATTGTTGCTGAGCTGGAGGGCAGAAACATTTTAGCCACTCATCCTCTCCCCTACTTTACACAAAAACAGCCACTCATATAAAGCTCTAAAACTCAGGAAGAAAGAAAAGACAGGAGTCTTCTATGGGGCATTAAAATAATAGGCCATTGCCATTACTGGATGCCAGGAATTTTGGGAGATTTGTGTATGTGTATCTCTGTGTGTGTTAGTTATGTATTAATTTTACTGGCTTTGGTGTAAATATTCTAACCCACCAGGAGTTTTGTTGGAATGTGGCAGTCAGTAAGAATGAACATTAAGTAAAGAGGTACATAAGTAAATATTTTCTTTGTGCATGGTGACATGGTTATTGCAAAAATGCATAGTTTTCTTTACATTTGTTATATCATTTCCTCACTGAAGATCTATAACAGGCATGTCCAAAGTCCGGCCCGCAGGCCATTTGCGGCCCGCGGACCGGTTTAATCCGGCCCGCTAAGAGCCCTCCCTGCTCTATTTAAATGCGGCCCTCCCACACTTGTCTAGCGGCCCTCCCACACTTGGCCATTTTGTATTGGTTATAGTACATTCTAGCAGCTGCTTGTTCAAGGACTGGCACAAAAGGCCGTGGCTGAAAGGGTGAGTATGCTTCCAGAAAACAAGGGCTTTTGAATCAGGCTAGAGACGTAAAGGCAGGGGAATCTAAAGCAAAAGAGGGCCTTCAAAAAAAAACAACCCCTCCAAAGTTTTCAGGAGACTGGAGGGCTCATCTCTAGGTCCTTCGACCCACCAGAGGCGGCTTACTTTTCTTGACCAGCGCGCGGAGCTGGCGGCTGGCCACGGTGCCGCCG